AAAGTACTCTTCAGCTGATCTAAAAATAAATAAATGAATCACTAAAACTGCTGTACCAACTTAAAGCTACTCTCCCCAATGGCGCTATGGAGAACTGGATACAGCATTCCTAGACAGCACCTGTTTATTTCTATGAAAGTTGCTCAGTGGCACATGATGCCAAAAAAATAACAACTGGAATGCTGCCAGGTTCCACCCAGAAAAATGACCCGGATGTTCCACACACATTTGTGCTTTTTGGGCCCATAGAGCATGCACACTTGCTTTGAGCCCAGTCTCCTGCCTGATAACTTCCGGTTGGCTCCACACGCACAAATGGGATAAAATCAAAATATCTTACAGCTAAACTCAACTTTCCAAACGATTTTGGACCCAGTGAATCAAATTCCGATCATAAAAAGTGTCATTTGGGGGGGGTTGGTTCCAGAAGAACATCACATCTGAATCAATTTACACACCACAGTTAAGAAAAGCTGGAATAATAACAAAAGTACTGTACAGTAAGCAACAGAGTCATGGAGAGGGTTAGTAAGACACCGCTCGCTCTCCCATTCTCACTTGATTTATCAGAACAATGTGTAAAATCCTAGTTAATGCACCTCTAAATAAAAGAATACAAACCCGAAGAACTGTTGGAAAGATGAACACAAACACTGCTAAACCCTCAGGCCATATGTGAGTAGCAACTGTATTGTCACTTAACCTTAGAAGCTGAGAATATTTCTTGTCTCATTTTCAAGGCTAGCTTTTGCATTTTTTCTTTATATCTAATTCTGTTTACATAGTTGACTGCTCCCCTTACTGGAATGACAGGAAATTAGTTTCAAAGCAAGAATCTATTTGGCTTGATCATTAAGCAATTCCTAATAAAGGAAATGCAAGAGGAAGTGCTCATAAATACTTCAGTAACCCTGCAACTAAGGCACACAAGGAATTGAAAATGAGAAAGAAGAAGAGAGTAAAACATGTTAGAAGTCAAAATGAATTCAAATAATTAAAGGGAACACCTGCAGCTACAATAAGGGTAAGATTTAGTGCCACCAGATCTATTTATACTCACTCAACTGAGTAGATGAATAACATTAATAATAAACAGTGATATCATTAACACATAAGAAAAAAAAAAGCTACTGAAACTGTATGCCAGAACTCATCAATCACCTCTGCGACTCAATGTGAGACCAACATCTAATTATCAGTTCGAGTGGAAATTTCCAGGGGTTTTGACTTGAGCTGTGACCCAACGTGTTGCTAATCACATGTTCTCAGACAACGTAATCTGTTAGTCACAGTTTTTCTTTACACGAAATGTCGGGACAGTCAGAACAGCTTTATGTACAAGTTACATCTGCTCAGTAACGTAGAATAAGGCGAGGCTAAGTAGCTGCACAGGTTGGTCAATGAGGCAAAAGTACAAATGTATAATCTGTTCAAATGTGACTAAATGAAATAAACATACCAGACCTACATTTATCTGAGCTCTAAACCAGAAAGTACTGTACCTGTTTTAAATGTAGCGAGAGGTGACAGAGGATGCCAAGTCTATACTGCAGAAGTAAGAAACAAAAATTACAGTTGTTTCAATTCTCAAGGTAGGGGCGGATACTGAACCTTGCTAGACCACAAACCAGGAAATCTAACTTGAAGTAACCAGACCGACTAGTTGCACCTCTGACTTTCAGGGATACCCCCTTATAACGGCCTCACAACCACAGAAAAAATACGTCAGAACATTTTTCCTAGCCTTCAAGAAAAGTGTGTGACCAGCACAGCTTGGCCATTGTCATGTAGAACAATGCTGGTGCAAAATGCATCTACAAGACAGCTAGTCTCAGGAAGTACTCTGCCAGATCACATCCTGTTCCACACAGTGACAAGGCATGCGTGAAAACAGACGAAGAAGAGTTAAAACATGTAGAGGAAGGCATGCCATGAACTTCACTTTGCATTCCTTTGTACAAATGCAGACTGTGTTTTAACCTGTTAAGGCTGGAATTTAATAGTTGGTGCAGTTTTACTAAGAATACGAGATGGGACAAATGGGTTTCACTCACACTTTCTGCACAAAAGCAGTGGGAGGGGATTCAAATGGAAAACTACAGACGTGAACTATATCTGGTCTGACTTCTATTTCAGTTAATACCTTGATGTTTTCATATGACCGAAAATGTGCTCCCACACACTGATGCCCACCAGCCAAATGGATAAAAATAACTGCTTTGTCACATCTACCTTGTTCCAAGGTAGATCTTCTTCTGCAGTATCATCACAATTTCTATATTTTGAGCAGCTGATACTGTGTTGCTACATGGCCTGCTGTGGCAAATAGGCCAAGACTACTGATACACTGTATTGTATATACATTTGCAAGCACATTCTTTCCATGATGAGCATCACCTGAAAACCAGTTCTTCTGGGCTGTGCAGCTGAAACTAAATGCAGTGACCTTTAAGGAACAGTGGGTTTTTAGGGGCAATAGCGCAATTGTTCATATGGTGTTCGGAAATAAAACAGACATGGATAATTTATAGCCTCTAGCCAACCAGGAGTGAATATTCCCTTTATCCAAGGTATAAAGCTTTAATAAAGCATGACTGGAAAACTCATTTATCATCATCTACAGTGTCAGCATGTCTGGAGCCTATAACAAAGATACAGCAAACTACCTGCCTTCAACTCATATTTGTAGGCATTCAACTTGTAACTGCTTTCACAGCTCCCCACACACCGGCCCCCTCTCCTCATCAGAAGCAGGGCCTGCTGTCCTCTTATAGCTTTGTTACCACAGAAATGAAGCTGCAATTTCCATGACATGATTCTATCTCACAGCTGAAGATATTACAAAAACTGCAAGATTGTAAACACCCCATGGATGGAAACGTGTAGGCCTGAGATAGGCACTTAGAAAAATGACTTTCTCAGCATTCTGATAGAATTCCTATAGTAGATATGGTATGAATTCGGATTTCAACAAAGCCTGCTTTACGCTGCGTATCACGTTGAGAGCGTTTGCCAATCTGCATCTGATTTTTACAGGTACAAACATACATGGTGATGACTGAAAGGCTAGAAACAGCGAACAGTGCGCATCCTTTGCTAATACCTGAGTGCTACTGGGCATGACTTGTCTAGTATGACACTCTGAGGCCCTCCAAGCCGTGGTTCTTGCGCAAAACAATGTCAAGTCATCCCAGCACGACCCAGCTGGATCTGCATCCACATGCAGGAAAGCGGCGCGTCCACCATCCCTGCCTGGAACTGATAAACACATGGAACATGCATTTCGTTTTGTATTTGTCTCGGAGGCTTACAGTCACGGAATCCTTTGCAGACGACAGAACCCAGTAACATAAATAAGAGCAGTATCAGATTATTGAATGTGTGCCAATAGGCCAAGCAGGATTCAGCTGCACAGCACGGTGCTGCGAACTATCCGAGAGGCTCCTGATGAATATTTCCACTTAGAAAAAGAAGTCACACGATTAACTGGATCAGATCTCACTGATAATCTCTACCATTTAGGAATGTTTTATAGGAAATATGAAGCTCGCCATGCAGAGCAAAACTTTCTTTTTTAAAATCATAAATCATATTCGCCCCAAGGCATCGACCCTGTAGTATACTGTAGGCGACTAAATATGAGCAGCTCACTGACACCCAGTGATAGGGCGCCTCGCTTGCAGCCTAGCCTGTATGCAGCGGACTTAGCGTTAGGGGTTCATGACTCCGCAATTTGACTAGGCTGCTGTCGATATTAGGACCATCTGGAAAGCTTATTACCTCTAAAGTGCGTATTTCTTGCTGTGTGAGGTCGTTGGACGCGGCGCATTTGGTCCGTAGCCCCTGTAAACTGGAGATGGAGATATCAATCATATTCTGGATGAGTTCGCATTGATGTAGTGCGGCCATCGCTGCGCCACCGCCACTATCCCTCTCCGGCTGCTCATCACGTTCGACCATCTTCCCACCTTTAGCACACACACTATCCATTCCTCAGCATTGGGCACGGCTGGAAGGGCTGGAGTCAAACGGTTAAGTTCAAATTAAACATAGGCTGTGAATCCGTCCAGCGACACGCCGTCCTATTATGGAAGTTAGCTGACAGCAAATGTCCCAAACTCTCAATCGAAAGAAATAAGAATAGAAACTGAATATTAATAAATCAGAGAAAGATTCTCGACAACACGCCACGTAGTGAAGCGGTCCCAAGTTTAGTAACGCTCGACTTGTATTTCCAGTCCGTTCAGGCTACAGACAAGAAGACACAACCACCACCAGCGCTGGCAGAAGCTTTCACCGTCTGTCAGCTGTTGGGAACATCATGAAGCGCGGTGCAGTCTGGGAATTGAAGTCCTAAAGGTTACAAACGCTGCACTCCACGCTACATACCCCCAGCTTCACCCATCCGCTCATGCACGTGGTCACATACATGGACATAAAGGAACTTGTTTTGTACAGTTAACACAGTAGCTTAATTTTATTTTTTAAACAGGAAAACGATTGCTCCAGTGTATACAAATCAATAACAGGAAAAGTAAAATTGTAATTAATGACATGAAGAATGGCTGGATGCTGATCAGCTGTTTCAGTTAGGAATAGGCTAGGCCTTTTTCACAATACATTTTTACCTTCAAGATAAAGGGAAAAAAACACAGGTAATAAAAATGCAATGGTTCAGTTATCAGGGTCCTGTAGGGTATACCACACACTGCATTGGCCTAATGACCAATATCCATAGAGGCTGAACATCAGCTGGAAGTGAATGCCAATGAGCTGGTTATATTTTCTCACCTACAACATGCTACAGAGTCGATGCATTGAGGCAAAAGGGTGTCATCATTAATGTCATTAGTACTGTTCATGCTTCTCCTATTATCACAAGGTAAAATGTATGAATGTAAAATATATCTAATCATGTATAATGGCTCACTGTACAGTATGACTTACTGGGATACTCAAATGGAACAAAGCCTTCAGTAATTTAATAGTTCTGTGTTTTTCCTCAAAGTGTCTGTTCTGAAAAAGGCTTCTTTTGAGACAACACAGCAGATTTAAAAGTGCCATGAAGTAATGTGATATGATCTACATTATGTGAGAAATTCTGGGCCCCAGAATACTGGTCTCTTTTCCTACAGCACAATTGTGCTGTAGTGCAGAGAGGTAGGGATAGCAACTCTACACTAGCTTTGGATTCCAACAATAATCACCACCTTTCACAGCACTTGCAACACCATGCACCATGCAGTACATCTGTCCTATGCCTGCCCATATGCCTAAAAGTCATAGGGGAAAGCATCCAAATATGAAGAAATAACAGTTTATTAGTGCAATTTCAAGACCAAGTTGCATTATCGGCACTGGTGTCATGATAAATCAGATTATATTTGTGAGGGTGGGGGTAATGTGCAGGTTTACACAAGCATTAAGCAACAGTACACATGGCTCATTGCTCTTACCAGGGTGTGATGTTCCTTCCTTTAATATACCCTGATTATACAATGGTACATGAGTCACTTTTCATGGAGCCCTATGTTCCTCCTCTCCATCTGTCTCTCCTCTTCTGATTGCAACCAAGACTGTACTGTATCTTACAGTGTGCAGCCATGCACCAGTTCAAATAGCAGTCTGGCATGGTAGCATATACAAGTCAGGCAATGTGGAAGTGAAAAAAAAAACAAAGCAATTAAGAACCTCATTCAGTGTTTTGGTATACCACTGAATCAACTTCCATTCAACTGAAACCAGCAATGCAGCTCCCTCAGAATATGCACTGAAATCTGACATTGATATAACAGAACTGTACATTCATCTAACTGCATTGCAACAAAGGAAAATTAATAAAGCCAAGTTCCCAGTCACAAGCCCTTTTTTGTAGTTGGTCCAGTACTTTGTAGTTTCAGTCCTGCTGTATTAACAGCACAGATTTGATGGTGACATGCCAGGAGGACACCATGCCAACTTCAGCTCTTCTTTGCCTTCAAAATCAAGTTAGTAGTGGCAACAGTGGGATAAAGGAAGGCTTTAAAAGAGATCTTTAGTATTGGTTGTATTCACCTTACTTCAAAAAATATACTTTGTATCCAAAAGGAAAGTGAATATTGTTAAATTCTACCCATAGGTCAAAGGTCAAAGTGTTTATTTGTCATATGCACAGTTAGGAAACGTGTTTTGTACCATAGGTACAAATTTATGTCTGCTAACAAGTAAAACCTTGCAACTGAAGGTAAACATTAATTTCAAACCTCTTCCACACTATATGTGTATCTTAACATCTGTTGCATAACTGCAGCATAATGATTTTTTGCAGTGAGCAAGCAATTGCTTTTTTTTGACTGCATAGCAATTCATTTGACAGATCATAGAAAGGTGAAATATGAATTACACAACAGAGGCCACTATTCTATCTGAGAATCAAATCAAGCATCATCTTATTACACCATGTGCACTGTATTTCACAACGGATCACAGAATCTCAGATGAAGAACATTTCAGTACCTTACCATTTGTTTCTCCTCCCATCTGTGCTCTCTTTTCATGCTGCAGTTCTCTCCAGGAGTTCATTTTCCTCTTAAATAACACATGAGGATTAATGAGCCCTTATCATTAACAAATATGCAAGTGCAATATATTGCAATGTACAGGTAGGCACTTTTCATCTTGCTGACATGACTGACTGAGCTGAGGATTGCATGATCCTCTCCCAGCCAGTCACTTAAGCCTTTTAAACTGTTGTACCATTGGACAGCCAAGACAACATGCACAGCATGGAGCTCATGGACTGAGATTAACTTGGACATGTTGAGAACATGATTTTATCTTCTCTAGTGGCCAGAATTTCCAGGAGCCACAGCACATATAACAGTAGACTTGGCTCATTTGCAAATATGATGAAATGTAGCACTCAGCTGAGTGAAGAATTATGGACCTGGGGAGATACATCACAGCCAAGCGTTTTGTCAATATGAATAAATACATTTGTGGACTAGCTCAATTAAAAAGTCTTTATTTATTCTCAATAGGAGGTTGTTACATTAGAATGCTGTTCTGACAAAAGGTTAAGTTGGTCAGTGTGACATTATGAAATGCATGTATAACTTTGATTAATTCTATGTGTGCTGTGAAAGAAGGCTAAATATTAGTGTCTATGTCCACTCAAAGCATGCAAAACAGTGCTTTCTTTAACTAACTTTGGCTGTGCCCCTTATTTAATCCTGGCTGGGGACATCACTGCTCACTGAGGCGAATCATGCCAAGTACTCCACAACAACACAGTCAGAGAAATGAATGCAAACATCATGATGCATGCATGATATAAAATGAAACTCATTTGACTAATATCAACTACAAAGCACCAGAAAAATGTTTTTGTATTTAACGCAATCTACCAAGTGTCTTTGTATGTCTTAGTTGTTTCCATCATCATTCCCTGTTAAATATTAAGATTCAAATTTGCCATTAAGTCATTGATCTGCCATCGCTGATGAGCAGTTGGATTATTCCCTACATGGCGTCACAGTGGTACATAGAACTAGAGAACATTCACATGGCACGAAGCAGTGAAATATGCATAGACACCACCATCTGCTGGACACCTCTGCACTGAGAACACATCACACCTTGTCTGCAGACTTTGACATTCTTTATAGAGGGATGATATGTTTATTTATCTTGCTGAAATTTCTTGAAACATGAAAAATAAGGGGAATTTCCATCATTAGAGTCTATGAAACTGTATAAACAGGCTGATTTGAATATGGTCTACTATGAAAACAAAATAAAATTGAACATCACTGAGCCACACTAACATCCAGTGGAATTTAAACACTTTGTAAGAACAAGTGTGCGACAGATGACTCGTGTGCCTAGTTACATATGGTGTACACAAATTGTTTTACTTTAGGAACACCTGCTCCAACTATGCGTCACTGTTTGTTGGAACATGCAGGTACTTCAAAAGCTTCAGTGGTTTGACCAAACAGTGGGTAAGCTGCATGATCTAAGTAGCTCACAATGTGGTATAACTGTTTGTACCAGATGTCATGGCCCTGCCATCTCACACAGATCTGTGGGGGATTCTCATAAATGAGGTTGATCAGAATTGAGAAACGATACATTGATTAACAATCAGAAGCACTTCTGTTGCTAAAAACAAACTGTCAGTGGGTGACACTGGAGAAGAATGAGCTGACTTAGCCAACAACCAGCATGAGCACAATCAGGGGCATTGCTAGACATAAAGCTCTACTGGGGCACAGGGCCCTCATAACTCAAATCACACAATTAAATGTATTCCACTGCCTGCTGCTACTACAACTACTGGTAAAGGTAAAAATGTAGAGTTATTAATCTTTATGAAAATATTTATTTCATCATACATTAAGAACATTATTAACATGTTTTCATGGCGTGAAGGTCTGGCCCTGTATTGCACTATTTTTTTGCATTCTTTTGCATTTCACAAAAATAACTAATTTGTCTGTCAAGCAGCCCCAATCACATTTTGTAACTCATAAAGCCACAAATCATACTCTGAAAATGAATTGTGCAATGGATAGCTGGTTGTGACACACCTGTCTCCGTAGAGGTCCCTACACAGACACCTTTCTTCACACTTTCCCTTCCTGCCTCAGGTTCACTTGTTTGTTAAACGTCTATAAAACAAACATTATCTGGACTGTGTGACAAGAGCATCAGAAATGTTATAGGTTATTTATTAAATGCAGAATGAATAGTCCAACATTACCATAGCCTATAGCAGGAGAAGGCAACAGATTGTGAGTTCAATGACCATTAAAGCAAACTGTGTTCATTTTTTCCATGCCGGTATGCTGCTTGTTACGTCGCAGGCTGCATATGAGGCGACAATATGATGCTGATCTTCACCTGCTGATAATAGTATTTCCAGGAAATAGGCTATTCTTTCATATTAAGCAACATGATGTCTCTGCTGTTGAACACAAAGTGAACAACCTATAACATTGAGTGAATACTGCTCGAAAGAGCCCAGACACCAGGACACAATCTTAATATCAAGTGTGATTTTATGGGTTTTATTTAATCCAATCGTGATTTTACAGTCTCGATCAAGGAGTGAATTTTCAGACTCAGTGTGATTCAAATGTCCTCTCTGAAGAGTTTCTGATTCATAATCAAAATTTGCAGGCTGCTGGGAGGAGATGGAGTCCACAAACAGGCTGCTGTTCACCGTTCTGTCGGATTCTAGTCAGTTATTCTTCTTTTTATTAAAATGGATTTGCAGTTGCAACATTAGCTGTGGTGTTTGCCTTGGTGTTTTTTGTCATGATGGTAAAACTGAATAGGCCTGTTTGGTGGGATAATACTGCCCTGAGAAGATCTCAATAGTGGTGCTGTTGGTGTGCAGAGACTTAAATTATGAATATAGATTCTGGGGACAGAATTCTAGGTTTATTCTAAATAAAATCAGCCTATATAAATAGTTTGACATTTCCTCACAATTTTCCAAATGTGCACTAGAGATCCTTAGGGCATGCTTCTACTGTTTAAAATCTACCAGCCTAAGCTTGTCATATAGTATCCATCAGCAACTGAAATTTAAACTGGTGAGTTGGTGTTCTCCTTTTCGTGTGGCCCACTGTTTAGTTTGTGACAGTGAGTACACTTCTTTGGTCAGGTTTTTTACAGTATCAAACACAAGCCTTTAACACTCTTAGTGTTAAACAGTAATAAGCTCCTGAGTATTTGTAACAATAGTGCTGCATCAACACAACACATTTGATAGTTTTCTTTTATTTAGACAACCCAAATAAAAGGCACATAACATTGCGCATGTTTATGTAATAATTTGACAAACATACATTTTTAAAAAATGTAGGAATGTTTGACCTTTCTGCTAATCAGAAAGCCTAGCCTCTTATATATACAAAATTACCATTGTTAATGTTCTAATACAAAAGATTTATAAAAAAGGTTATCTTATCTTTCACATCTATTGTAACTACCATATCCTTGGAACTAAAATAGTTTTGTACAAAGATATACATTCAGTTGCTTTCACAAGGGTGCTGGAATTTCCAATTTTTTTTTCCTTAAAAAAAATTCCACATGAGATGTTTATCACATTATTATTGTATCAAATTTGGCAAACAGGCTAATATAGCGTATCTACGTAAATGCATAAGAACAAAAGGCTAGAATAATATTTTAAAACATAACTCGAGAAAAATAACAAACATGCATATTGCATTTTCATTATACTGAAACCTCAAAAGAGCTGCAACACTTGTGATGTGGCACTCATTAAAAATAGTTCATGTTCAGCAGCTAGTGTTTGGGGTCATGCAACATCAATCTGGCACCATTATTTTAATGGACACAAACTTGCATTTTATCAAACTCCTGCAGATCTCAGCCACATAACTACATAGCCCGAGACTGAACTAGACTAACAAAGGTACAGCATGTATCTGTTGTACAGTAAATGATCATGTAAATGGACGGCCATGTTTAAAACTGAATAATTCTGGGACTTTCTGTCCCTGATCGAAGTCAAACAAACCAAGTTCATGAGTAATGGGGCTTTTATGTGCGTTTCCTGAGTGAATGGTTCTTAGTATAATCTTGGGCTATCACAGGTAAATGATTTAAAAAAGGTGTAGACAAGAGTCAGAAAAAGTTAAGTCACCATAATGATGACTGTAACAGCCTGAAAACGCTTCACTACAAGGCCAGGCCATTCCATGTACAGCCACTAGATGGCCCTCAAGTGTAGGCTGGCTAACCAAAACGCTCCCATTTGATCTTTAATAATACTGCTGTTCACCTGTATGTAGGATATGCTTTCAGTGCAACACTCATTTCAATCTGACTTCGTGGAAAAATGAACACTACAAACAGGCAAATAAAAACAAACCTCTGTTTCCATACAAAACAAAGTACAAATATTTCATAGTCAAGAGGACAGTGTCTACTGACTAAAGCAAATATTAAAATGCTGACATGAAAATACATTACTATGTCAACTGTACAAGTTAGTCACTGTACCTCAGGAGCATACCTACAATCTGAGAAGAAAAACAAAGGCTATAGCACTGTGAAAAAATATTCTTCCATGCAAGTGGAAGCTGCTGCCCCTTTTACTAGACTCATTTCCTATAACATTAAATAGTGATTAGCAGGCTATAGTTATAAAAACAACATACAAAGTAACACCCAGAGGCTTTGGGAGAGAACTTGAAAAACATCAAAAAACAGCAATTTAGAGTTATTGCTTCAGTCTGTGTCTCATCTCCCCTTTACAAAAGCACAGGTGTGTTTTCCTACAGAGTCCTTATGAGTGCTTGAGGAATCCTCTCCTTTCATTTATCATATAACAAATCACAGTTTCATTCTAACTGACTACACTAAGTCTTACAGTTTGTCCTGATTTAAAGATAACTCCTACTCGATTTCTATCCAAGTGTCACTTATCATTAGTGGCCATGACTTGGGAAGCTCCTGTGAGCCACACAGCTCATGGAAATATTCATTTCAAGGTTGGATGAAATGAACTGGGCTCAGGAGGGAGAAAAAGGCTGGACTGAAGGTGTAAATGATGAGGACAGGTGTCTTGTTTCACTTCATCTTCCCTTTCTTCCTGACCAGTTCAGCGTGCTCTCTCCATTTTACCAGGGTGGGGAAGAAGGCAAGACTTGGGACAGAAAAGGCATGCTATCCACTGGCCTCATGGCGATGTTCAGCGGACCAGCTATATTCATAGGCATGGGGGTCGTTATTGCGACTGGGTGGGCAATATTCATGGGCGCCGTGGCAGGGATGTTGACAGAGGCGATGTTGACGGGCCCGGTGATGGTGACCGGGTGCTGGAGGCTGACTGGAGACGTGATGTTGACCGTGTTGGTGCTAATGTTCATTTGTGCGGCTATGGTGACAGGGTTGTTGTTGTTGTTGTTGTTGTTACCACGGTTCATTGCTGTGGTAATGGGGGCAGAAACGGTCACAGGGGTAGCCGAGGCAGAGTTGCAGACTTCGTTAGCCTCTGCAAAAACACAAGACAGTGTGTTAAACTTCAGTTCTGCAGCAACTCAAAATAGATAAAAGGGTAGCTGAATGGGCAACACAGTCATTACCCCTGCTGCAATCTCATGTCAAATAAGGTTTTGCCACCATTAAAAATGGGTGAAGGGGTTTAAGAAATGACACTACATTCACATTAATGCTCAATTACAATCGTTCTGTCAGATCCAATCTTTTTGTGTTGATGGTTCACATTCATATTTGGAAGTGACGTATTGAGCTCCAATTTGAACACTGTTAAGGCCCCGCGTCAGTGTGCTCTTGAGTGTGCGTAGATTCTGTTCTTACCTAAGAACTAATCCCAGATAAGAAAACACTGGTGAATACCTCCTGAACTTCCTGAAAACTTCGTAAGTGGGATTTACGAACAAATCTGTTCTTAAAAACGGCTGGTGAATGTGGCCCAGTGTCATTTGTGTGATGGCTCAATTGTGCAGTTCCCTCAAAAACTGCATGGTTATGTGTTCCTTCCAGTTTGGCTTGAACAAAATCTTCTCCATAAATGTCCAACAAACTCAAAGCTTGCACGTCTCTCCACTGAGCTCTGTCACTGTTGGTACTCTCCTCTCTGTTTACTTTTACCGGTCTGTGAGGGGCCGACACTGAATGATGACAATGGGCAACATGCGCGTGTGCAGAAGAGTGGGATGTTAAAAAACCCACATGACCACCAATCTGATTGTTCTGACCACGGTCACATGGCCAACAATCAGATATGAATGGGATCTGGGATCACATACGGAAGTGAGCCACATCTGAGTTGAAAAAAAATCTGATCTGATTTGTTCACACATCTGTGAAAAGATCAGCTCTGAGTCACTTGGAAGAGAAGGAATTGGATTTCAGTCACTTCAGCATCATGTAATGTGAACATAACTATACTGTGTTCCTGACTACTACAGCAGTTCTGTGATCAACAAATTCTAGTTGCTATGCAAAGAACTACCAAAATGAGGCAGAGATTTTTAAGCAAATTATTTTTAAAAGGTTTTGGAAAAAGGCTGTAAAACCTAAGGAAGATAACGGATCACAAGATCTACGGACATGATCTTGGGTAGTGGTTTAGATCAGATATGACTAAATGTTCATGATACAAACAAGTTGGGACTCAATATTTTCCAGGAATTGTCAATTAAGTGCCAGTAACAGTTGTGATGATAGGAGTATGCATGTCTGACTAGTGTTACCTACCTTTGTTACAGGAGTTAAAGTTAGTCTGCCCATGAGTCTTCAAATGGCTGGTGATGTACGCCGCGCTGAGCATCTTACCACAGATGCTACAGGTGACCTTGCCTTCATGCCTGATCATGTGGGAACGCAGTCTGTCTTTGGTGGCAAAAGCAGAGGTACAGGCCTGCAGCCGCACAGCACATGAGGTCAAAGGTCAGTGGAGTACAACAATAACAATAAGAGCAATTTAGATTTTGGCGGTAACGACTCTTACCGTCACTTGACATTTAAATGGTCTTTCTGAGGAATGGACATGCTTCACGTGGCAGCTCAAGTGGTCTGGCCTAAATTTCAAAAGAAAACAATAACACAATCTTTGGCCAGTGGTGCACTGAGCTCTGTGAAGTGTAGAGAAATCATTCTGACCTACAGACCATGTCTACCTGGAATTATACTTTTAGATTTTATTCATTATTGTGAAAATTGAAATTATAATGGTGGTTTGGTTGGACTGAAAACATATTTTCAAAAACAGACAGTGTTACTGTCAATTGTTCGAGAAATACTATGTTGCCTGCTACAGATTAGCCCAATGAACTTAAGTCCTTGGTCAGTATGTATTTGATATATTTTCTGCAGCAACTTTGCATTTACTTCACCTGTGATTTAAGTAGTAGCACTACAATATGGGTTGTTCATTATCATTTAGTGACAAGGCGCACCACATGTAAGGGCACCAACACACATGAAAAGCCTACCAAGTTGTGTTGTAGAACCTTTCTATGCTTTAGAAATGCAGTATTTGTGGGAGCATGTAAATGTGCTCTTCTTGCTTTCAAAACGAGGGTTTGGCACAAAAAAAAAAATCCCTGAAATTCCAGTCAATGGCAGTTAATTCTCCATGATCAATCATGCATGAATTTGTCTGACCTAGTTTTAAAAAACCTAATGTGCTGAAATGGTGAGTTTAAAAAAAAAAAAAGTTATCTACTTGTTTTCTTCTAAGTAAATTGACAGTTTGGCATTACACCACACTACTTTCATTTCTTTTCTAGCATCCTTGACATTATTTACAGGAATATAAAAAGAATGCTAATGGGATCTTTCAGGAATGTGGTTAGTAGTTTCCCACTAAATGCAGACTGAATTTGCACCTCTCTCTCTGAGGATTAGGAGGAGACTCTGTGGGTCACAATCTTAATTTAACTTTGATAACTGAACACTTGTTTACCTCGCTCACCAAAATGGCATCAACATGTAACTCGCACTGTATACACATTATTTTATTGTTAACACATTCCACAGTATTTATAGTATCTGTTTTTAGTTCACTGGATAGCAGCAGTTGCAAGAAAACAGATATTTGCCTCTTGACCTTTACAGTCAATCTCTAGCATTCACAAATTCTTCCTGGCACTACGGAGCTGAATCATGTTAAAGTACCATAATGGAGTGACTAAGGGCTACAACACTGGCAGCTTGTCCTAAACTGGAAAGTTTCATGCTGCTGGAATTTTTTTTAATTTTTTTTATATATATATACAAATGAGAAGAGTCAAGTAGAATATTCTCAAAGGTGCCATGACCAGGAATCAAATATATTTGTTTGTCCCTCTTACAAGAAGAGCAGACTCCAGACAGCGCCTGCCTACAGATTTGGCTGAGTGGCAGTGAGTCAGTGGCCTGTTATTCAGTCCCCATTCTCACTTTCCAGTACGCTGATGAATCCCTACCCCACGTCACTGGGCTGGAGGCATGCCTGAAACTGCCCTGCACAGCACAGCAGTTCTAATGTTACAGCTTGGGCAGTGTACACTGCTGATGTTTTTGTCCAAGTTGTGGTTTAGTACACAACCCTTATGCTGTTATCAATATTCTTTGCCCCCTCAGTGCCGTTTTACATACACTTCAATACATTAAAAGATAGCATAATGTTTGTGTTGATAAATCTTAAATTTAAAGCCATCACAACACATTTAATAAAAGATTTATTCACTATGTAGTAAATGTGTTGACCTGAACAACCACTGCATGGTTCACTCAATTCCCAAGGGAAAGGGAGTCTGTGACATGCTGGTGGGAACCGCAAAGTGACATGTGACGCCTACCCCTCCCTTGATACTCTACCACTGGTGCTCTCCCATGTACAACTGTTTAAACGGGTGGTTGAAATGGCTTGGGGGTCAATAATATCAGTACAAATCTGAAAACACAGCCACTGAGAAGCTATATAGACACACGGTGGCTGAACAATTATTCCTGTATATAAAATTATGGTGTGAATGAACAGCACTAGTTTAATCTCTCTCACACACACACAAGTAGTGGCTTGTCACAAGCATTAGCTGTTCAGTGAACTTGTGGTAAAGCAGAAAAAGTGCAGCCCCTTGTGATTGCATTCTCTGTTAAAATGAACCCTCTGTGAATTCACTGGAAAACCGTCTAATGAACAGATTTAAACATGAAACCTTTTTTGAACTGTCAAGTTCAGCTAAAATAATGCTGGAATTTGTTTATCATTGTGTTATCTGTAAATTTAAACAAGTCAAGATCTTTCTCCTTGATCCTAGAATGCAACCATCTGAGGTTGAAATTACTTTGTCTACACTCCCATAACAATCAATTTGATCTCAGAAGTATACTTCCTGTTTACAGTAGTCTTGTCGTTGGTATAAGAAAACTAGAGCAGGACAATCTTTTCTGCATTTGCCCCCACTTTCTTACCATGTATTTTCATTGTGCACTGTCCCTCTTGCTGCTCATCTCACTACCTACCAGACACATGTGAACCTCTGGATAATGAGCAGAGGTTCACAAAGCCTAAACAACCATAAGACCCAACCCAAACAGATTGGTGGCTGGTACAGAGATGAGGACATGATATCCAGCTAACCCCCAGTACAGAAAACTTCCAGGCATGTCTTTGGGACTCCCAAGCTACACCGGGCCGGTCTCAAGAGTCAGGTTTACTGAATTAGCTGAAGGTCTATATGAGGAATATACAAATACATTTGAAATGGGTAATGTTATCGCCCCAGAAATCTGCTGCCAGCTTCTGACAGCTAGCCACTGCTCAGTGTTTACCAGTTTGAAGCCTTAAGACAAGCCTATCTGGCAGCATGAAGAAAAGATAACTTCACATTAGCTTTACTAAAGTGAAAATGACAGTAATTTCACCCTTTCCCTAGATTCTGTACAAAGCGTTCAAATACTGCAAGTGGCTATTGTTATAATTTAAGAAATGCTACCCATTTTCACAGCATCAGTCATATTATTATAAGCTGTTTACTGGGCCAATTTCTTCACAGGTCAAAGGTGAACCTTACCTGGAAAAGCCTTTCCCACATACGGAACATACATAGGGCTTGTGGACTCCCCCGTCATGAGAGCGAACATGGTAGGTCATTCGGTCCTTCCTTTTAAAACGTTGCTGGCAGATGGGGCATTCGAAAGGCTTCTCATCTGAATGAGAAAGCTTGTGGCGATTTAGGTGGTAGACGTCACGAAAAGCCTTGCCACACATCTCGCACCCATGGTTCTTCTTGACAGGTTTGGCAGGTTTTTTGGGAACATTCTGCTGTGGCACACTGCCCATTGCAGATGATGTCATGATGCTTGTGCCTGAAGAAACCGAGGTGGTTGCTGTAGACAGAATGCCTGCTACTGTGGAGATATAGGAAGGGTTGCCGTTGTTCTCTCGTGGCATGGTAGAGATCATGGGTACCATGGTGGGGGCTGTTTGGGCTGTCTTCTTTGGCCGCGACACCATCTTGATACCGGTGTGGCTGGACTCATGACGTCGCAGGTGGTAGCTGTCACGGAAGGCCTTGTTGCAGTAGTTACAGACAAAAGGTGTTTTGCCTTTGTGTTCCTTCTTTATGACAGGCATCGGAGGCCGTGCACCTCCTCCACTGGCCACATTGTCTTTGAGGAGATCAGCGGCACTGGAAGGTGGCTTCTGGTCTATCTGGATGGGCAGAACAGGCTTCTGATCAATTTGTTCAGCTCCTGCATTAAGAAGTGGCAGCAGGCTGTTCTGGGCCACTTGGTGCTGGTGGTGGAGGGCTTCATTGGCCTGCTGGTGAAACACATGTGTACACAGAGAAACTGGTTACAGATTCTATATAAAATATACAACAATACTGGGAACTGACATTTCAAAACAGTAGGAATTCTCCACTGTATCATTATTTTCCGAACTCTAAGAATTACCACAATACATCAAAGGTATTAGTGACCTAAGAATTACCACAATACATCAAAGGTGTTAGTGATAGCTATAGCACCACTGGAAGTTTGAGTCAGCTTTGACAAGTTTGTGAGAAGAACATGGGTTAGATAGGTGTAAGATGTTACAGAATACAAAATGGGTCTGTCATTAATTAGGTTGATGCAGCATGCCACAAATGCTAAGGAATCTGAATATACAGTAGTGAAGCAATTATTTTCCCATCATGATGGTGCTGACTCATCGTGCGACTGAAAGTCAGAGGCATAGCAGAGCCCAGTTTAACCGCAAAGAAGAGCAGGCCACTAACTCAGCTACCATACAGAGCTCAGCTCGGAGATATAGTGAAGCTAAACTGTGTGTCAGAAAAGGAGTAAAATATGCATGCAACAGCTAAATGCAGGTGACCAAAATAGTCAAAATAACATGGGCCTTAATGCCGCAAAAGCTTACTGGTTTCATAGCGCCCCACATTGTGTTATTACTTTTGCCCACTACTGCCTGAACAGAAACAGGTGAAGTGGCTGGGTGCAGTTAGCAGCAGCTACAACCAGGTGCTACTTTCAGATTCACTCATTTAGGTAATTGAACCTTCCAGCTGGAGGTCAGACACAACTTGCACCTCCTGCTACAGCGCTGAGTTGCAGGAAAAACAAAACAAAAAAATGCCAATGACACAACTTGATCTCTCACAAAGCTGCCTTGAAGTTTAACACTTCCTACAGTATATAGTAGTTAGCACAATGTAAAATCTGTCCAGTTATGGCCTTTATTATAAGGCACTTATAATCACATTTGCCACCATAGAAATGAATAGAAACAAATACAGAGTTGCAATAACACTAGCAGCGGGCACAAGTGTTAATGGTAATTTAATAATTCTCTGCTAATTCAGATTTGACAGCACTGTTTCACTATTCCTTTTAAAATTGCTAGGGGTAACTGGCTTTAACCCATAATTGACCTATATCTTTCAAACATAAAAACTACATCACAGTTCAGAGTTCTTTCAGTAAATAGACACAGTCAAGACAACTGTGTTGTCAACCACCAGGACGAGGGATAAGGTGAAATACTTGACCTTTCCCTTTGAGGTTCAATCATCCATCGAAGAAGGCCAGCCAAGAAAGGAGTCGCAGAGGAGGAGATGGGACAGAGAAGAAAAATGAACAGCACAATGTCCTCCTTATGTCATCTAGCCTATTGTGAAGGGCACAAATCTGAGCAGTGATGCACTCAGGCCTCAGCAGGGGATCTTTGTATGCACATCTTCATTGATTTGGCTCATCTATTCATGAGATGGGGACATTGTTTATCCACACACTACTCAGCTAAACTAGTTGTCATGCCCTCACATGCAATCAGACCTGGGAACTCATGGAAAATGCCACCAAGCCCACCCAACCATTTGTCTGAGCACCTGCTCAGACTTGCCACCTTCCAGGATTAGTCATCATCATGCCAATGCTAACCCGTCCGCTGGCACACCAGGGGTGGGAGGGGGGATACCAGGCGGGAACCCTCTTTGTGAACAGCAGACATATCCACTGCAGACAGCCTAGCCTCTATACAGAGGTGCAGGGCCTGTAAGCTGCTGTGCCTTCATGCAGCTCTGACCATTTTGACACAAATGTGCTCTGACAACTGGCGCTGCTCCCTCATAAATAACATCAAAATGGAGGGAGTGTCTTGATGGCTCCACGGGCCACTGTATAGTGGAACTGAGCTCATGGTTTGAGTCAGATTATGCACTGTCTTCCTTTTGTGTTACATTCTACAGCTGCTAACCCAAACACACACACACACACACACACACATAAGATACACGAGGAAAGGACAGAGTGGAGCAAAAAACTTTGCAATTTCTTTTTTCTGGTACATGCAAAGTCTTCAATTTCACAAACTTTATGAGCTTATTCTAAATCTTTTTTCAGTTGTTTACAAGTACAGAAATCTCTGGCTGCTCCTCAATTTGTTGACACAAGCCCTTACGAAACATCATTTTTCTAATGTTTGTAATCATTCCAGATTTTCTGTAGCCTGTAAAGCTATATGAACACTACAGGGATCGACTGCCTTGTTCAGTGATACTGTAGGCTGCGAGTAAAGGTACTTCCATTCTGCTAGGAGAGCACAATGTTTCACAGGATGTTCAGAAATATTAATTCTTCCTCTGGGCTTGGATTGCATCACATAAGAGACGCTGACTGTATATAAATTGTGGACAAACACACCGTGACGTCACTCATTTTTCTGAAGAGCGGCTTTGAAGATCAAGTCTGACCGTTGCCATATTGCTAGTTCTTCACTCTGCCTCCTATGGCTAATCCAAAAAAAAGGGGGCAAAGAGGTGGAGTGTGAGCGGCGCTCGCTAGACAGTTAGCAGCTAGCCACCTATGGGGGGACCCTCCTGCCTGTCACTCAAAGCAGCTGAGCCCTTAATTAATGCTCAACGTCTAGGGCCCTATTTTGCCAAAGTCAAGGTGGATACAGGGCGTGTCCAGACCAATTTTGCAATTTTGACAGTGCAAAAAGTAAATCAGTGTTAGGCAACCATTTTAAAAGGGTTGGACTTTCTTAATTAACCCATGGGTGTGTTTTGGTTGTAACATGCAATAAACCAATCAAAATGCCATCTTCCTTTCCCTTTAAAAGGCAACTATTAGAACAGGAGATGTACCTGGAAGGAGACAGGAGCAATTTAAATACCTATGTGTAGAACTAGGATTGCTCAAGCAATTTGCCATTTACATTGACCATTATTGTGACCAAATAATTCTGATACATAATATAATCACAGCTGTTTACATGTTTTAGAACAACTTGGTGCACAGGGCATTAATTTTAATTCTGAAAACATTTTATTTTTAATATGTAGCATTTTGGTGTGTTGTTGTTGGCGTCCCTGTCTAAGTGGCAAGCAGCAAATCTGCGCCTTGTGCACACGCGTATTACTAACTTGATCCAGCACCTTTAAAATGCCAAACTGTTGACTTAGACCAGCTTCTTGTTGGTCACTGGCGCAACTTCTTATTGCGTCCTCAAGATACCAAGTGTACCAAAACATGCCCATAGGGTCCCTCATTTACATCGACACTCCCAGGTGGATGAAATGTATGTGGCATCTTGACAGCGTGGGTACTAGGAGGAAAAAGAACACTGTGTCGGGTGCAAGATAGGAAATTGGTGAGTGGTCCTTCGACCCCAGAGTTACCAATCATTTCAATCTGTGCCGTAAAATTCACTAACATTCCATTGTTTGCTCAAAGGTGTTATAGTAATCTACTTCTGAAAAGTCAGCCCTTTTTTGACAGTAGACATTTTGGCTTGTTGTAAAGGAGAAAAGCACAGGTGGAACTGATGACTTTAATGCATTTGTTTATGTTACCTAGGGTCCTGGTATTGTGCATGCTAGCACACTGGAACAATATTTTGAGCCATCACTCATGAAATTTGTTTCACCTGTGCTTTTTTTTTTTTTTTGCTATAAGAAAAATTCTTGTTAAAAAAACAGAGCAAAACAGAAAAAAAAACAGAATAGCTATAGCACCACTGGAAGTTTGAGTCAGCTTTGACAAGTTTGTGAGAAGAACATGGGTTAGATAGGTGTAAGATGTTACAGAATACAAAATGGGTCTGCCATTAATTAGGTTGATGCAGCATGCCACAAATGCTAAGGAATCTGAATATACAGTAGTGAAGCAATTATTTTCCCATCATGATGGTGCTGACTCATCGTGTGACTGAAACTCAGAGGCATAGCAGAGCCCAGTTTAACCGCAAAGAAGAGCAGGCCACTAACTCAGCTACCATACAGAGCTCAGCTCGGAGATATAGTGAAGCTAAACTGTGTGTCAGAAAAGGAGTAAAATATGCATGCAACAGCTAAATGCAGGTGACCAAAATAGTCAAAATAACATGGGCCTTAATGCCGCAAAAGCTTACTGGTTTCATAGCGCCCCACATTGTGTTATTACTTTTGCCCACTACTGCCTGAACAGAAACAGGTGAAGTGGCTGGGTGCAGTTAGCAGCAGCTACAACCAGGTGCTACTTTCAGATTCACTCATTTAGGTAATTGAACCTTCCAGCTGGAGGTCAGACACAACTTGCACCTCCTGCTACAGCGCTGAGTTGCAGGAAAAACAAAACAAAAAAATGCCAATGACACAACTTGATCTCTCACAAAGCTGCCTTGAAGTTTAACACTTCCTACAGTATATAGTAGTTAGCACAATGTAAAATCTGTCCAGTTATGGCCTTTATTATAAGGCACTTATAATCACATTTGCCACCATAGAAATGAATAGAAACAAATACAGAGTTGCAATAACACTAGCAGCGGGCACAAGTGTTAATGGTAATTTAATAATTCTCTGCTAATTCAGATTTGACAGCACTGTTTCACTATTCCTTTTAAAATTGCTAGGGGTAACTGGCTTTAACCCATAATTGACCTATATCTTTCAAACATAAAAACTACATCACAGTTCAGAGTTCTTTCAGTAAATAGACACAGTCAAGACAACTGTGTTGTCAACCACCAGGACGAGGGATAAGGTGAAATACTTGACCTTTCCCTTTGAGGTTCAATCATCCATCGAAGAAGGCCAGCCAAGAAAGGAGTCGCAGAGGAGGAGATGGGACAGAGAAGAAAAATGAACAGCACAATGTCCTCCTTATGTCATCTAGCCTATTGTGAAGGGCACAAATCTGAGCAGTGATGCACTCAGGCCTCAGCAGGGGATCTTTGTATGCACATCTTCATTGATTTGGCTCATCTATTCATGAGATGGGGACATTGTTTATCCACACACTACTCAGCTAAACTAGTTGTCATGCCCTCACATG